AATGGCAGAGACCTAATGGCTCCGGACAGCGTATCTTTACGGTCCGTGACACCAAAATGAATGTGTGGACTTCCCTTCTGGGAGACCCCACCTACCTGTTCCACAAGCTTTCAGATTAGTATTAACCCGAAATTTAAAACGTGTTATGGACAGTGAGGACGCTGAGAAGTCTCGAGGAATTGCGAGAGGTCCCTGTAAGTGCCTTACTGTTACAATATTTCTGTCCGCTGTTTGGGTAAGAGGAAAGACAAACATTTTGAGGTTTACTCCCATCCCCCAGAGTACTCTTAGCAATAAAAAGCCCTGACATTTCACTGTTAGGCCCTCCCCACACAGGGGGGTCCTCCATCTGCAGAACCAACCGACCATGAACTGAAAATATTTGTTAAAAATAAGAATTAAAAAGTAATACAAATTTGAGACCAGCAGATGGAGGAGTGCTGAAGGCTCTGGACTCCTACATGGTTGACCACAGTTCGAATCCCAGACCAGTGCCTTGGAAAACACGCTACGCGTGTGTGCACGCATGCCCAAAGTCTCAAGAGGAGAATGGAGGAGAAGGGATTGCGGTGTGGCCACCCTCCCCCCAGGCCCACCGGGAGGTGATTTCTTGCTTCCTGTCTCTGTCTCTCTGGCAAGCACACGCACCCTAACACAAATCTCTCAAAGCACAAGTACTGCAGACCTCTAGAACAGTCGGCTCAGCTCAGCATTTACCCTGAGGCAGGGGTAGCAGGTCGCTGAGGGGGGCTTTCCACCACAGGAGCATGTACTGGGTCAGACGCGGGTTCCGAGCCACGGTGTACGGGGGTTCTGGGGTGCCGTGTGGTCCTGGGGACAAAGCCCTGCCTATGCGGTGGGACTGTGGTGGTGGTTTTTTCCATAGTTAAGGTCCTATTGGGGGGAACCAGCAGTTAGCGTAATGGCTATGTTGCTGGACTCCCACGTAGTTGACCGCGGTTCGCATCCCGGACCCGGTGGCTTGAAACTCACGGCGGGGGGCGTGTGCGTGTTTGCCCAAGATCCCAACTCACGCCGGGGCGCGTGTGCGTGTGTGCCCAAGATCCCGAGAGGAGAATGGAGGAGAAGGGATTGCGGCGTGACCATCCCCCCTGGGGGTTGATTTCTCGCTTTCTGTCTCTCTCTCTCTGTCTGGTGAGCGCACGCGCCCTATAGCCCCAAAAAAAAAAAAAAAAAAAATCCTATTGGGAAGGCAAAAAAAAAAGTCAGAGGCGATTTGGACACTTGCTTAAGAATTCCTTTAGTTTAAGGGTCTTTATCCTGTAACTTACTCTTAGTCGCTCGCAGAGGCGAAGGTAAAGGCCTTCCTGAATTTCAGACACGGAGAACTTAGAGCTTCAGGTTTATGAAACAGACACGTGTCAAGTCAGTATGGTGATCGACAATGTCACCGGTCTAAATGTCAGAGAGGCATTCTCCTTCCCAGCGGGAATGGCGTCAAGTATTGGAGCTAAAACAACAATGCTGCTCATAGTAATCATAATACTAGCAGGTAGAGAACATGTTTTTAAAGTCTAACAAATGAGGGCCGGCAGGTGGCGTGGGGTTAAGGTACTAGATTCCACGTGGCCAGCTGTGCCGTTGAAGTCCTGGACCCGGCGGCTTGAAAATCATGCCAGATGTGCGCGTGTGTGCGTGTGCGTGCGTGCCCCAAGTCCCCAGAGAATAGAGGACAAGGGGCTGCAGCATGCCCACCTCCACCCGGCGGCGTACACTCCTCGAAGCCAGCTTGCTTACCCTGCTCTTGACCACGAGCGCAGACATCGTGTGAGAGGAAGGGGGGCAGCTCTCGGGCAGGCCTGCCCCACCACGATCCCTGTCCTTAAATAGGGGTTCACATTGACTGAGAGGATTGAGGAAGTCCTCTACGCCAGCTTTATCTCTGAACACACACACACCACACGCACACGTATACACCGGGTCGTCGGGGAAGTCACGTAGAAAAATATACCGTGCTTTCCCCGACGACCTGACACATGACAGACTATGAAAAATACATTGGTACTTTTGGTTTGTAGTTTTACTTTATCTTCTAGTCTTTTTGAAAATCGAATAGACCTTGTTTTCAGAGCCATTTTAGATTTCCTCCTCATTTTCTTGGGACGGGCAAGATAGGGAGCATAAAGACTCGTGTCACCTGTTTTTTTTTTTTTTTTTTTTTTTAGAGGTTTTTGCTATAGGGTGCATGTGCTAGCCAGAAAGACAGAGAGAGACAGAAAGCGAGAAATCACCCCCCAGGGGAGATGGCCACGCCGCAATCCCTTCTCCTCCATTCTCATCTCGGGATCTTGGGCACGCACACACACGCGCCTGGTGTGAGTTTAAGCCGACGGGTCCGGGACTTGAACCGTGGTCGACTACATGGGAGTCCAGCGACATGGCCATTACACCAACTGCTGGTCCCACCTGTTGTTTTTAATACGCAGAAAAGACCACATTACGAAGATTAGCTAGGCATGAAATTGGGCCTTGGCGCTCTGATGAGCTAAGCAGCCTTTGTTGACTAAGTTTATTTACTTATTTTCTCCATGAGAGACAGGGAAACGGGCACCTCCACTGGGATCTTCCCGCCACCACCCGACCCCAGCCTTAGCCAGCAGGATCCTGGGCGTGCGTGATTTTCTGACCCGTGCAGGGAGACCTCGGGACACGGGCCCAGGACCTTCCCACTGGCCGTGCGTTAGGAGCACTGTCCCGGCTGCACGCCCACCGCCGGCCCTGAGACTGGGTTCAGGGGGTGTTTCTTCCCAGAAAGTGTTCACCGGAGACCAGCCAGTGTGCGTGCTCAGGGACGAGGTCGTCTTTTTTTCTTTTTCCTTTTTTTGTTCTTTATTTTATTCTTTCAGCATCTCCTGAGCATCGTTGGCTAATGCTCTGATGTCACCCCAGGTGCTAGGACTCCCGAGGCTGACCTGGTTTCTCTTTCCTTGGTACTCCTCTTTTCCTGAATCTTAGCTGGAAGCTCGGGGTTGGGCTTGGCAGGTCGTAGGCACTGAGAGGGGAGCCAACCAGACCTGGAGGAGTCGGTGCGGAGACAAACCCTCTCCCAGGTAGCCGAGACGGGCGTGAGATAGGACGCAGGGGTCGTCCGGAAGCTGCGTTGTCCAGATCCCGGGTTTTGGCACCAATCTGTGTGTGTCCTCCCTTTTGGGAAGAAGGAAGTGGAGCAGGGGGGGGGGGGGGGGTCTCCCCCCCCACCTCTCCCCTCGGGCCGTGCCCCTTACACTGTGAGGGCGGCCTCTGGTGTTTAGACCCCGGGCCATCAGCCTTTCCCGAGTGCCCGAGCGTGCTCCATCTCGCCCTGCACCACCGCGCCTTTCCTTGCTGTCCGTGCTGTGGCTGTCGTGGGCGAGGTCTGCGGGGCCACCTGGCTGAAACCCCGCCGGGCGCTCACAGACCCCTTCCCACGTGTGCCCAAGGCCGGCCCCCGGGGTCCTCAGGCGCTCTGCCCTGACTGGCTTTTTTTGTGCCTCATCTGTCCCCACGGCAGCTGTCGGAGCTGGGAATCGGCCCCCCGGGCCATGGGCCACGCTGGACCTGCACCCTGACCAGTTCAGGGTGGGACAAACAGAGAATTCCTGAATCCTCTGCTAAGCTAGAAAAGGGAGGGCCAGTGAGTAGAATCGACCTTGCTGTTTTCGGTAACACGAGTTTAAATGTGCACACGCGCGTGCACACACACGTGCACACACACGGTTTTCTCCACGGAATTACTGCTAATTGTTCCTGTGACTTCTGGGGTTATTTTATAAGCAACCTTCGTTCATATTAAAATACTCTTTATTTTCAGCGCAACTACAAAACCACGCACTTGGTGTGGGCAGTGCCGTCCCTGTCCACGTAGGCCAGCCCGTGCATTCCCAGATCCTTCGGACACGTTCACAGGGAAAGGGGCTCGGGGGTGATACGAAGAGCCCAGTGCCTCATCGTTTCCTCGGAGAGCTGGAAGCCACCGGCTTTAAAGTGTCTGCTTGGCAAATGGGAACTAATCCCCGGTAGTAAGGATGGTAAAGCACCCATAGTGGCGCAGTATGATAGTGGCCCAAGATGACGCGTGTGCTCACAGAGGGTAGAAACACGTGGCGTGACTCACACAGCTGTGACACCTTTGCTGAGGGAGGCAGGGTGACAGTGGGGAGGGGAATGGCTCATTAATAAATAGAGCCATTTTAAGGAGAAATGCATTTTGGTCCTCATATCTGTAGCAGATGAATCAAAATACATTTTATTATTTATTTTTTAAAGCATTTTAAATTTTTAAATTTTTTGGCCACCATTGATTTTTGTAAATTTCCTTAGCGAGTTTTTTTGGTAGGGAGTGATGGCTGGGGGTGAGAGAGACAGACAGTGAGAGATCACCTTGCTGAGAGGAGGTACAGCCACCCCACAGCCCCCCTGTCCATGTTCTTTTCTCAGGATTCTGGGTACACATCCGCCCGGCAAGAGTTTGAAGCCACCAGGTCCAGGACTTGAACCACGGTCAGCCCTGTGGGAGTCCAGCGGTGTAACCACCATGTGATCTGCTGGTCCCAATTTATTACCATTATTTTAAAATTTGACCAGAGAGAGACAAAAACAAAGTGAGAAAGCAGGCCACCAGGTCCAGGACTCAAACCGTGGTCAGCCATGTGGGAGTCCGGCACCTTAAGCCCCACGCCACCGCTGGCCCCTCAGTACATCTTAGATGAATCTGGCCTAAGTATGGACAATTCTAGGATATGAGGACTTAATGCAATTTCTCTGGAGTTTCTAAGCAGTTAGAAAGCTGGCAAAGGCGCTGGCCAAGAGGGGACGGCGTGACCTGCTGTCACTTACGTTCCCGTGGCTGTCGCTCCGTGGACATGACAGGAGGGCCCATCTGTTCCAGGTTCGCAGTGTGAACGCTGGTCTCCCCTTTTCTTCATTACTGGGGGAGGCCCGCTTCCCAGCTTGCTGAGGGCGGGCGGGTGTCATTCCTGGTCCGAACGTCTGCCCTGCAGGTGCGTGGAGAACTACACGGGCGCGCGCTGCGAGGAGGCGTTCCTCCCGAGCTCCGGCCTCGAGATGAGAGGCCAGCTGTCTGCGGCTCTCGTGGCGCTGGCGGTCCTCCTGGTGACGCTGACGGTTGGCGCCTTCTACTTCCTGCGCAGGTAACCCAAACAGAAACACGCTTTTGAAAAGGCAAAAGAACGTAGGTATCCCATGAGGTAACGTGCCCTCCTGGGCTAGGCGTTTTGTATTTCGAACTGTCTGATGCAGTTTTCACTGTTACGTTAGTGACTGATTTCTGCGAGGATCTTAAGCGGTCCTCATGGCTGCTTACCGCCAGCCCACTGCTTCTTGGACTCCTCTGAATTGCCAAGGCAGACCTGCAGCCACTGGAAGCATCACGCCAGAGCACCTCCCGGGCTAGGTCTACTTAAAGGGCGTTTTTAATGCGAAAGGAAAGAAGTCACTTAGGCGGTGCCGTAGTCCCGAGCGTGCTGTGTCCAGGGCCAGCTCTGCCATGGGTAGACATCTGCTCAGCTTAGAATGCAGCAGTGGAAGAAACACACACCCTCGCCCAGAGATGTTGTTATTTTAAGAATTATTTTTATTTAACTTTATTCACTTTTAAAATTTGACCAGCGAGGGACAAAATGAGACAGGGCAAGTGAGAAAGCGAGCCACCAGGTTCAGGATTCGAACCACGGTCCGCCACATGGGAGTCCGGCGCCGGTCAAGGGCGCTGGCTAAGCACCACGCCACCTGCTGGCCCCCCCAGCTCGGAGATTTAAATCGGTCTGGAGAGACAAGCAGGCCATTGATTTGAGGAGACCAAGTAACTCGGGAGAGACGGAAAGAACCCCCCCACCCCGAAGCAGTGACGTGCACAGATTACTTTCATCCGTTAGTTCTGACCTTCAATTTTTAAGACAGTTTTATTAGGCGCAGGAATTATCTGACATAGCTCTCATCACCTAATGTGCACCTCACTGTGACAAAGTCAGAGATGCGAGTGAGCTTACGAAGCTCGCACCCTAAGAAAGGAACGAACAGGTAGAAGAGAATCTTGTAAAGGCCTCATTTCTGAGCGACATGACATTAGACTGGGCTCTGCTGAAAGACGTGGTGTTGGAGCTGTCCTCCCAGCTCGGTTACGCACCGTGCATTGTGTGCCGTGACCCCCAGATGGCCAGCCCTGGGGGCCTGAAACACACGCCAGGCACGTGTGCACTCAAATCCTGCTGCGACGGACGGAGGAGACAGGACCGTGGCGTGACCATGCCCCATGGCGGGGGAGGGGTTCTCCCATCCGCTCTTTGCTCTTGTAACAGTGGGTTTGAATTCGTTTTCATGACCGTAAGCTGATACTCTGAGTACTGACGTACCAAGGAAAAAACAAAGCAAGTGTACAATCCACACTCTTAAGGCAGTTCATAAGGTAGTTAAAAAAATCTGCCGTAACCACATACATTATAATATAACCTATATTGGAAATGATCAGGTGACCAAAAATACTAATAACTACAACCTTTAAAAGGTCCAAAATGACTTTTTAAAAAATAATTATTTATTCAATTTTATTTATTCATTTATTTTAGTTTGACCAGAGAAAGACAGAAAGAGCGAGCAGAGGATAAGTGAGAAAGCAAGCCGCCAGATATGGGACTCGAACCATAGCCGGCCATGTGGGAGTGTCCAGCACCTTAACCATCCCGCCACCTGCTGGTCCCCCCAAAATGACTTTTAAAAAAATATTAATTTTTATTTAAATTTGACCAGAGACACACAGAGAAGGAAAGTGAGAAAGCAAGCCACCGGGTCTAGGACTCAAACCGTGGTTGGCCATGTGGGAGTGTCCAGCACCTTAACCACCACGCCACCTGCTGGTCACTCCAAAATAACTTTAAAAAATGACATCAGGGACCAGCTGGTGGCGTGGTGGGTAATATGCTGGAACCCACCTGACTGACTCCATGGTTCTGGTCCCAGACTAGGTGGCTTGAAACACACAGCAGGTGTGTATGTGTGTGTGTGTGTGTATGTGTGTGTGTACACACATGCCCCAAGTCCCAAGAGCAGAAGGGAGAAGGGACTGCAGTGTGCCCCCACTGAAAGTGGGTGCTTCCTCACTGTCCCTCTCAACCCGCTCTGACTAGTACCTGCGCCCTGTAGCAGATTTTTAAAAAAGCCATCAGAGGGAAAAGTTGACTCAAGCCACCTTCTGTCACACGTGGGTCCCAACTAATAATAGGAACTACCCTTCTTAAAAAGGGCACAAGATGTCACAGCCTTACTGCCGTAAAGATAAGACTAAGTGGCACCAAGGTCCCCACACGCGACCTACCTGCACCGGAGGATTTCGAATCACGGGGCTCAGTTTCAGCACCGTCCAGGTAGCCGTGGAAAGAAAGTGACCTGCCAAGTGCTCAGGCTGAACCGTCTGGCTCTGACATGCTTTCCTTTCCTTTTTTTTGAGAGGTTTTTGCCAGACAGAGACAGAGACAGACCGAGAGACAGAAAGCGAGAAATCACCCCCCGGGGGGGATGGTCACGCCGTAATCCCTTCTCCTCCATTCTCCTCTCGGGATCTTGGGCACGCACACACACGTGCCCGGAGTGAGTTTAAGCCACTGGGTCCGGGATGTGAACCGTGGTCGACTACGTGGGAGTCCAGCGACATAGCCATGACGCTAACTGCTGGTCCCTCTGACATGCTTTTCTGCTCACCTGTCTCTGTGTGCTGTCTCTCCTTCCTCCACTGTCAGGAAAGGCCAGGTTCCGAGGGCCAGCTCAGTCCGGTACCACACCAGCCTGGCGGAGCCGAGCGGCACCGGTGCCCACCATGGTAAGGACACTCAGCGAGGCGCGGGCCCACAGCCCTCGGGGAGCTGCGTCGTGACACGTACAGAGTTTGAGTCCCAAACATCCTGGAAAGGGCGACCCTAAGAATTTCCCCTTGGGCTGGCCCTGTGGCACAGTGGTTAGGCACTACATGGAAGCTGCATCCCACATCACTGACCATGGTTCAAATCCCAGCCCTGGTGTCTTGAAAAACACACTGGACTCATGTGTACGCGTGCCCCAATCCTGACCAATCGGGGAAACGGAGGTGGAAGGCCTGCGGCCTGGCAGCCCTGCTGGTACGCGTGCTCGCTCGCTTGCTGTCGGCTGCTCGCCCCCCTCCTCTCCCACTGGCTCTGTCTCGAGTACATGTGCCCTCTGGCAACGCTTTTTCTTAATGGATTTTGTGCAATGTATCTCTACGCTCTTTCTCATGAAGGTGAGTTTCTTAGCAGTATGCTACAAACCATTCTCTTGTGAAACAATATCACCTCCACACGACATCCATGTGAGCTCCGATGGTACAGGCGGGCGGGACTGCTCACTCTCGGGCGCTGAGGCTGACACGGGATGGGAGCTCTGCCTGTAAGCACACGCAAACCCTTGGGAAGCTGGTAGACAAGTAACTTTTTTGTTTTGTCTTGTTTTTTTTGAGAGGTTTTTGCTACAGGGCACATGCACTCACCAGAGAGAGACAGCGAGAAATCATCCCCCAGGGGGATGGCCACGACGCAATCCCTTCTCCTCTTAGGACCTTGGGTATGCACATACATGTGCCCGGCATGAGTTTAAACCACCAGGTCCAGGACTTGAGCCATGGTCGACTACGTGGGCGTCCAGCGACATAGTCATTACGCCAACTGCTGGTCCCGACAAGTAACTTTTAAAACTGTCTCAAGGGACCAGCAGGTGGCATAATGGTTATGTCACTGGATTTCCACAGTTGACTGGTGGCTTAAAACTCACGCGGGGCATGTGTATGCACGTGACCAAGATCCCGGGAGGAGAATGGATTGCAGCACGGCCATCCCCCCGGGGGGACGGTTTCTCGCTCTCTGTCCGACTCTCCAGTGAGCACACATGCCCTATAGCTACAATCTAAACCAAACCAGTCTCAACACTGTGCTTGTAGCCGGGGTGGAGATTGACTTCCAGGAGGGCCGTCAGAGACACTGCTCCTGTCAGTGCCCGCGTGGCCAGAAGGGTGGGGGCAGCAGGCCTCGTGGAGGTTAGGCGGCAGCCCGAGTCCTGGCCTTGGTGGCTTCACAGTAAGACATGCGTGTGTGTGCCCAAGGTCCCAGGAGAATGGAGGAAGGATTATGGCGTGGCCACCCCTCCGGGCGGGTGATCTCTCTCCTCCTCTCCCTTCTCTAGCAAAACTGCAAAAACGAACCAACCCAGGGCACAGCTTTTACTACATGTGACAAGACGTGCCATGAAAAGCCTCAGATCACAGAGGCCGGGAGCTGCCTAGCGCTAGTGCATATTCACGTTGTGGAGACGGTAACATGAAGCCGCATATTTAAATTTTTATTTACTGGGACCAGCAGTTAGTGTAATGGCTATGTTGCTGGACTCCTATGTGGTCTGCCGCAGTTTTGAGTCCTGGACCCAGTGAATTAAACCATGCTGGGCACGCGTGTGTGCGCGTGCCCAAGATCCCGAGAGGAGAATGGAGGAGAGTTGGCAGCGTGGCCATCCCCCCCTTCTCACTTTCTGTCTGTCTCTCTGGCAGCTGCATGCGCCCTATAGCAAAAATCCTCTCCAAAAGATATTTTTAATTAATTTTTATTCATTTTAATTTGACCAGAGAGACACACAGAGGAAGAGGGAAAGGGAGAAAGCAAGCCACCAGGTCCAGGACTCAAACCATGATCGGCCATGTGGGAGTGTCCAGTGCCTTAACCACCACGCCACATTCCGGCCTCCCACATATTTTAATTGTTAATGACCCTTCTTCACTAAGGAAGTCCTCCTGCTACCACACAAACAGCCCGATTGCAGTTTTTCAGCTGCCTTGCGCACCTCGAAATAGCAGTACCCCCTCCCCAACTTCTCCCTCGGGCGAAGCCGCAGCCAGAGCCGGGCACACTGTCCTCCCGCGCCGCCCCACTGCGGTCACGCCACGAACAGAAGGAACGCAGTGTCGTGTCTTCCCACACGTCACCCGCCTGTAAGTGCCAGGCGCTGTGGTGGGTATTGCAGAAGGGTGACTCTTGGGGGTCTGAGGAGCTGTTCTGGGGGCAGGGGTATCGCTGTGTCAGGAGAAAAGCCTCAGCAAGGCCAAAGCCTTTGCCTTCCACCCCCCGGAAGGTGGCGGAGCCAAGACTCGAGCCCAGGTAAGTCTGGCTCTCAAAGACGAGTGAGGGACAGCCTCAGGGCCCGCTGGCTAGAGGGGATTTCCGCCCCTACCCTGAACAGCCCACTGGCCACAGGGTGCTCAGTCCTTCCCCTTCTGCCATGTTTTTGCCACCCACTTCTAGCTGGCATGGCTGCCGGCCACACCTTCTAGTTGGCATCATTTTGGCAAGGTCAGTGGGCTTTCAGCTGCAGGTGACACAGGTGACAGAGACAGCAGGCGGTGGGCCCAGCAGGGGTGAGCATGGGATGGGGAGCGGGCAGCCCTGTCCTGTGCTGAGCAGGGCTGGACGTTTGGAGGTGCCAGGTGGTCTGCTCTCAGCGCTCCATCTCACGAACAGAGAGCTGGGTTTCCCTGTGTGAGGAACTCTTTTTTTGGGCGGGGGGAGAGGTTTATGCTATAGGGTGCGTGTGCTCGCCAGAGACAGAGACAGAAAGTGAGAAATCCCCCCCCCCCCAGGGGGATGGCCACACCAAATCCCTTCTCCTCGGTTATACTCTCGGGATCTTGGGCACGCACGCACATGCGCCCGGCGTGAGTTTAAGCCACTGGGTCCGAGACGCGAACCGTGGTCGACTACATGGGAGTCCAGCGACATAGCCATCACACTAACTGCTGGTCCCAGTAAGAGCAGTTTTAATCTGCCACAGGTCAAGGAGAGTACTAAAGAGTGACCCTGTGGCATTCCTTTAATTTTACAAAGGCAGAAAATGAGACCCTAACAAGGTAAAAGAAATCAAAACGTCCACCCTTTCCTAAATGTGACTGATGAACGTGGGCGCAGCAGCTCCTGTGCCGCAGGGGGCCCTGTGTTCTGGGGTGCACCTCGGCTGGCCAGTGCAGCGCAGACACCACTGCGATGGTCAGGACTGTCCGCAGCAAGCGCCTGTGTGAAAGCCATCAGGCAAGACTTGTCACCACTGGAGGAAGCCCAGTAGGAACACAAGGGGACTTCAAAAAGTGTGTGAAAGGAACTGAAAGCCAAGTTTGTCGTCGTAACAAAAATGTGAAATCCATACTTGTTCATCATCCACATTTTCATGAAATTTTTGAAGCACTCTTATAGATGAAGATCTTGAGAAATTTCAAATAGTTTGTTAGCAGCACATGCAGAATCCATACCTTGAAGAAACAGACCCATAACGGTAAGGCTGCAATGCCCATGCCAGTGGCAATTCAAGGCCGCTGCCCGAACTACACGGGTTGCATGGTTCAAGTTACGGTGACACATGACACAAAAAGCAATCGCTTCTTGGAGGAGGAATAAAACAGTGCCGGGCAGGCTGGAGGGCGGGTGGGTGGCTGAGGCAGTGGAGCAAGCACTGGCAGAAGGGAGCAGCCCAACTCTGAGCCCAGTCCTTCCTCCTCGAGACTAGCGTGCACGCAGCTTTCCTACGCAGCACGGCCCAGGGTTGGTGTGAACTGCACGGCCAGGGAAGAGAGGGCAAGGGACGTCACCGCAGCAGGGGGAGCCTGAGGGCAAGGGGAGTAAGGGGAGGCCACGGCCAGGGATGTCCAGTCCAGGGAGGGAAAGGCCATGGTCAGGGTGAGAACGCCAAGATCTGAACAGGTCAAAGTTTAAGGTTGAAAGGTCACAGTCAGATGCTACACTTTGAGGCTTGAATGGGTGTCAAGACAAAGACGACAAGGTCAAAGTTCAAGTTCAGACTTTCAAGGCCCAGACTTAAAAAGCAAAAGCGTTCAAGGTCAGAAGATCCAATGTCAAAGTTCGAGGTCAGAACGCCAAAACGCTCAAGGACCAACCAACTGCACGCACAAGGAAGAGGTCAAGGTCCAAAATGACACTCTTGTCTAAAATGACACGTGTCACGGGCATGTTAGAAATGACACACGTGTCAGAAATGACATGCCACAGGCATGTCAGAAATCACATCAGAAATAACATGCATGACGGAAATGACGTGTCACAAATGACCCACTGGTCAAAATGTGTCAGGCTTGACACATCACATGCATGTCATTTTTGAAATGTCATTTGTGATATGTCAATTTGACATGTCATTTTTAACGTGTCATTTTGACATGTGACACTTATGTTACTTTTGACATATATGTCACTTTGACAGGCATGTCATTTTTGACACATGACACACATGTCAATTTTGACGTGTCATTTTTTTATATGTGAAACACGTTATTTTGGACACATATGCCATTTTCACCATGTGACACGTATGTAATTTTGACATGGATGTCATTTTGACGTGACACAAGTCATTTTTGACATGTGACACATAATGACGCGTCATTTCTGACATGCATGTCATTTTGGACATGTGAGAATTATGTCATTTTTGACGTGTCATCTCTAACATGACATGTCATTTTTGACATGTGACACGTCATTTTTGACACGTGTCATTTCTAACATACATGTCATTTTTGACGTGACACGCAAGTCATTTTTGACACATTTGTCATTTCTAACATGCATGTCATTTTTGACATGTGACACGCATGTCATTTTTGACATATATGTCATTTTTGACATGCACGCCGTTTTTGACATGTGACACACATGCCTTTTTGACATGCATGTCATTTTTGACACACATGGCATTTTTGACGTGATACGCATGTCATTTTTGACATGCTGTTTTTGACACGCATGTCATTTTGGACATGTGACACGCATGTCATTTTGGACATGTGACACGCATGTCATTTTGGACATGTGACACGCATGTCATTTTGGACATGTGACACGCATGTCATTTTGGACATGTGACACGCATGTCATTTTGGACATGTGACACACATGTCATTTTTGGCATACATGTCATTTTTAACATGTGACCCGCATGTCATTTCTGACATATATGTCGTTTTTGACATGTGACACGTCTTTTTGACATGCATGCCATTTTTGACATGTGACACGCATGCCATTTTTGACATGTCGTTTTTGACACGCATGTCATTTTGGACATGTGACACACATGTCATTTTTGACATATATGTTTTTGACATGTAACACATGTCATTTTTGACATGCATGCCGTTTTTGACATGTGACACACATGCCATTTTTGACACGCATGCCATTTTTGACACACATGCCATTTTTGACATGTGATACGCATGTCATTTTTGACATATGCTGTTTTTGACACGCATGTCATTTTGGACATGTGACACGCATGTCATTTTGGACACACATGTCATTTTTAACATGTGTCACTTTTAACACGCATGTCATTTTTGACATGTGACACACATGTCATTTTTGGCATGCATGTCATTTTTAACATGTGACCCGCATGTCATTTCTGACATATATGTCGTTTTTGACATGTGACACATGTCATTTTTGACATGCATGTCATTTTTGACACACATGCCATTTTTTGACATATGTCGTTTTTGACACACGTGTCATTTTGGACATGTGACACGCATGTCATTGTAACATATATGTCACTTCTAACATGCATGTCATTTTTGACACACATGCCATTTTTTGACATGTGACACACATGCCATTTTTTGACATATGTCGTTTTTGACACACGTGTCATTTTGGACATGTGACACGCATGTCATTGTAACATATATGTCACTTCTAACATGCATGTCATTTTTGACGTGTGTCCATTCTAACACACATGTCATTTTTGACATGTCATTTCTCACACACGTCATTTTTGACATGTCATTTTTGACATGACACCCGTCATTTTTGACATGCATGTTGTTTTTGGCACGCATGTCATTTTTGGCATGTGGCACATGTCATTTTTGACACGCATGTCATTTTGACATACGTTATTTTTGAAATATGTCATTTTTAACATATGTCATTTTTGACGTCACACGCATGTCATTTTTACATCCATGTCATTTTTGACATGTCATTTTTACATGCATGTCATTTTTGACACATGACACGTATGTCATTTCTGACACGTCATTTTACACTTGACACGCATAACTGTCATGTAACACGTAATTTTGGACACGTAATTTTTGACATGCATGTCAGTTTTAGCATGTGATGCATGTGCCTTTTTTGATGTGCGACATTTCTGACACACATGTCATTGACATGTGACACACATGTCACTTCTGGCATGTGTGCAAATGACATGTTAAAATGACACGCTTGTCAAAATTACATGTCACAAATGACATGCCGGTCAAAAATGTGTCAGAAATGAGATGTCAAAAATAACATGCATGTCGGCCATATGTGTATGAAATGACATGTCAGATGTGTATGAAATGACATGTCAAAAATGACATGTGTGGGAACCAGCAGTTAGTGTAATGGCTATGTCGCTGGACTCCCACGTAGTTGACCGTGGTTCGCGTCCCAGACCGGGCGGCTTAAAACTAACGCCAGGCGCGTGTGCGTGCGTGCCCAAGATCCCAAGAGGAGAATGGAGGAGAAGGGATTGCGGCGTGACCATTCCCCCTGGGGGGTGATTTCTCGCTTTCTGTCTCTATGTCTCTGTCTGGCGAGCACACACGCCCTATAGCGAAAACCTCTCAAAAAAAGACGTGTCATAAACGATATGTGTGTCTAAAATGACACGTCAGAAATGACATGTCAAAAGTGTTTCAAAAATGACATGTCACAAGTGACATGTTAAAAATTATTTGTCAAAAATGACGTCAGAAATAACATGTCAAAATGACATATGCCCCAGGCATGTCAGAAATGACCCACATGTCACAGGCATGTCAAAACTGACACATAAAGTGAGAAATCACCTCCCGGTGGGATGGCCACACAGCAATCCCTTCTCCAACATTGTCCCGTCGGGATTTTGGGCACGCACGCACAGGCGCCCAGCACGAGTTTCAGCCACCAGGTCTGGGTCTCACACCACGGTCGACTACATGGGAGTCCAGTGACGTAGCCATTATGCCAACTGCTGGTTCACCCCCCCCCCCCCCCCCCGAGCGTGGGCGGCTGCTTTGCAGTTCCCTGGTTTCCCAAGTCCCACCCCCGCTGCTGCTCCGACCGTGGACGGTCTGAACTCTCGCCCCAGACAGCCGTGGTCCTTGAGCTCTCACCAGCAATGGTCTCCGTGCATTCAGAACACGGGTCTGGGTTCAGCCCCTGCAGGGACGCTCCGGACCAGGGAGCTCCAGGCCACCATTCAAGTAAGGTCTGCTTCTTCCGGGGAGCGAACAGGGCTTCTGCTTCAAGGACAAGACTGTCCGTGCCAGGAAGGGATGGCCGAGAACAAGCAAAGGGGCAGAAACCTTTGTGCCACGTGGGAGACAGCTCGTCCCGCCTGGGCACTGGGCTTACCGTAAGCCTGGCTGCTCTCCGGAGCTGACAGGCGGGTCAGGCAGTCGCCGCGTGTTTTCCTCCATGTGTCTGTGGGGGACACGAGCCGGGACCCTTCTCGCCCGGGCCTTGCGGCTGTCACTCAGGTGGACGTTGTTACCCCGGTCTGTACTCTGGTCTCAGACCTCCACTAGAATGCACTACGCCCCCTGAGGGTTTTCACATGTAAAGAAAAGGGTCTCACCATTCTCAATGGGATCGTTTGTATTTAACATGGATGTTAAATATGGAGAATACTTTTATTGAGAAGTGTTCATGTACCTTGGTATCAAAACCTTCGACAGAAGCTGCCCCTGCCGGTGTCCTCTGGAACAGCGTGCGTTGCTGGACCTGGGGCTTGTGTCCCGGCGGGAGCGAGCAGCAGCAAACACGACTCGGCTAGCGCAATCCTTACCACACCGTGCCCACAGTGGCTCGTGTGGCTTGTTTAACAGGGACGCCGTGACTAACGCCTCGTGTATCTTCTCCGTTATTTCAGGGGTGTCATTAGACCAACTCATATGCAGTTTCTACCACGGAAAACCGAGCCCATCGCCTCTAACGTCCTGACGCGGGGTCTTCGCTGCCGCCGAGTTTGTGGCGGTGTGAATCTGGGCCTGACTCGGGAGTCTCCTCCTCGAACCTGCTTCCACGGTGCATCTGATGTGCCCAGGAAGCGAGAAAAACGCAGCTGCCTTACAGATTCCTGCACATCAGCTAGAACGTTCTCAGACTCCGAAACGTCTGCACGTGCCTCGTCGAGCTGTGACAGACCCGTGACTCTCGCTGTCCGGCCTCCAGGGTCCCCGTGACCTCCCTGCGCCGGGTCTGCCCGCTTCTAGGCCCTCCTTCCCAGGTCTACCTCTCGCCCTCAGCATGGAAACGCATCCCTCACCCAGCCTTCCACGAAGGAAACTGCAGCCCCAGAATGATTTTGTCTGGAAAAGCATCTAGGGGTGCCAGCAGGTGGCGACATATTCCTTAATGCACTGAACTCCGGTGTGCACGACTGCAGTTTGAGTCCCACACCTGGAGGTTTGAAACTCACACCAGGCCCGTGTGTGTGTGTGTGTGCCCAAAATACTGAGAGGAGAATGGAGAGGGCACTGCGGTGTGGCCATGCCCCCAGGAGGTGATTTCTCACTTTCTCTCTCTCTCTGGCAAGTACATACATCCTATAGCAAAAAAAATCTCAAAAAAAGTGTCTCGAGCTCTTTCCCACTATGCATGATGGCAGGCGATCAAACTGCAAAGCAGGATACTAAGGAGAAGAAACCCGAAGCCAAGAAGGCTGATGCCAGTGGCAAGGTTAAAAAGGGTGACCCCAAGGCTAAAAAGCCCAAGAAGGGGAAGCCCCACTGCAGCCGAAACCCTGTCCTAGTCTGGGGCATCAGCAGATACTCCCTGTCTGCCATGTAATCCAGGAAGGCCATGTTCAAGAGGAAATACTTGGCCACTAAATCCAGGATCACAGAGAAAAAGGAGAAGGTTCTCGCGACTGTCACAAAACCGGTGGAGACAAGAATGGTGGTACCCGGGTGGTTAAACTGCACAAAATGCCTAGGTACTATCCTACTGAAGATGTGCCTCGAAAGCTGTTGAGTCATGGCAAAAATCCTTCAGTCACCCTTCAGTGAGCGTGTGAGAGAGCTGCGAGCCAGCGTCACTCCTGGGACCATCTGAGCATCCTCACTGGACCCACAGAGGCGAGAGTGGCTTCCCTGAAGCAGCGGAGCAGGGGCTTGCTACTAGTGACCTGATCGCTGCTTCTCAATCGAGTTCCACTGCGTAGAACACACCAGAAATTTGTCATCACCACCTCCATGAAAACTGATATTATTAGCAAAGTAAAAATCCCAAAGCACCTTACCGATGCTTACTTCAGGAAAAAGAAACTGCAGAAGCCCAGACACCAGGAAGGTGAGATCTTCGACACAGAGAAGGAGAAATACGAGATTTCAGAGCAGCGCGAGATTGATCAGAAAGCTGTGGATTCGCAAATTTTACCAAAAATCAAAGCTGTTCCTCAGCTCCAGGGCTACCTGCGATCCGTGTTTGCCCTTACAAATGGAGTCTGTCCTCACAAATTGGTGTTCTAGATTTTTTTTGCCAAGAACCTAATTAAATAACTGATCATATTAAAAAAATAAAAGTGTCTCGAGGAAACCAGTATTTTTCACGGTCTCCATGAATCCCGCTATCGCCTGCGCCTTCCATGGGAGGAGGTGCCTCGTGTGGGAAGACGGGAAAGGTCCACTCTCACTTGTTTTGGGCTTGCCTCGTTCTTCTCACATGATCACTTTTTCACTTTCTTTTTATTTTTTAAGAGATTTTGCTATAGGGCATGAGCGGAGAGAGAGAACGTGAGCGATCCCCCCTCGGGGGAAGTGGCATGCTGCAATCCCTTCTCCGTGCTCTTCCTGGGATTTTGAGCACCCAAGCCCACGTGCCCAGCGTGCGTGTCAAGCCTCCAGGTGCCGGATTTAAACTAGTCGGCTATGTGGGAGTCCAGAACCTCAACCACCTCACCGCCTGCCGGCCCCTTTGGCTTCAAAAGTGACAATGGCTGCCAACACTCTTTGTTTTCAGTGTGAACAAAATTATTTCATTAACGCTTGTTTTTAAGACAAGTCTTCCCAATTGTGAAATTAAGCATACGGCGCTGGCTGCACTGCAGCTCCCCTTCCACATGCCGGAGGCCTCAGAGGCAGGGAGGAGGGCTCTACACGTGTCGCTACGACCCGCTCCTGTGGGGTCAGTCTCTCACCTCCCCACTCTGCACCGCGGGTGCACCCAGGCGGCCGGACGCTGGCCAGACGTCCTCACTGCTCCGAAGCTCAGACCTACGTCCAGCGCTGGGTCACGCTCCCTACAGCACTCTCCTGAGAGGAGACTCCACCTCGTGCGGGTGTGTTGGAAAAAAAAACCAATCCGTTCAGTTCGCAGGCCTGGTTTGCTCGTATTTCAGATTCTGACTATTCAACCAACTCTGGTTAATTTTGTTGAGAAAAAGATGTTTTTAGGAAAATCTGCCTTGTGTCACGTAAACATATTCAAAGACCAGATTTCTGGGGTGCTGCTAATCGAAATGGCCAAACGAGTGTTCACGAGATAAAAGTTCTGTGAGCAAACTTTTCTTTCGGCTTTCCTTAGGAACGAGGGTTTAGAATAACCATGAAGGTAACGTTTTTTAGAAAGTTCTCATAGAAGACCTGGGATGGAAGAGGAAGGCAGGACTAACCCCCCACACTCGACCTCACTGGCCTTTGCAAGCGCCCTCCCGCCCCAGTCGAGCAGCCACTGGCCGCTGCTTACGCCCGTCACACCGGGGTACGGAGGCGGCTCACATGGGGCTGGCCTGCAATGAAGCCCGGGACAAAGGACAGCCACGGCTTAAACAAGACCGGTGTGATTTCTGTGCTGGACAAGAGCCGCAGGTGACAGCAGAGCCAGGCCGGGACCCAGGCTGCTTCTGTGACACTCACCTCCAGTGGGCGCTGTCTTCTCCACAGGCTCCAAGGTGACACTCCGCCAGGCCCACGTGCAAGCGACGCGATGGAGGGAGGGGCAGTAAAGCAAACGGTCACGGCATTTCGAAAGGCATGTCATTTCCCTCAGCTGCCACTGGCCACAGCAGTCCTACGCACTAGGACGACTGGGACACGTCGCCCTTACCTGGGTGGCACATGCGGACCCGAGGACAGAATGACGCTGGGGGAAACGGGTGCTCTCCGCACACGCCTCATTCAGACGTGTGCATGATCAGAGATCGGGCCTGGAGAGCCATTCTCCTGAGTACGGCAGGACGCACGAGCTGCCCTTAGCTACGATGACTACTCTGGGTTTTCACTCAGAACGGGTTAGTACATTGGGACCAGCAGTTAGCATAACGGCTATGTCGCTGGACTCCCATGTAGTCGACCGCGGTTCGCATCCCAGACCCGGTGGCTTAAACTCACGCCAGGTGCATGTGTGTGTGCCCAAGATCCCGAGAGGAGAATGGAGGAGAAGGGACTGCGGTGTGGCCATCCCCCCTGGGGGGTGAGTTGTCGCTTTCTGTCTCTGTCTCGCACACGCACCCTATAGCAAAAACCTCTCCAAAAAAAAAAAAAAAAAAAGTTAATACACTTCCTTCATTCAGCCACCAAGGTAACCGAGTGCGGAACAACACCTGACCGTTTCCACGATACGCTTTATTGGTATAAAACCAAAGTCAGGTGATGTAATTCTCCGGTCTACTCATTAGCTGCGTTGAACTAGGTGAAGATTTCTCTCTCAATTTCTTTGAGGGGAAAAAGGAAAATGTTTTACTGATAAAGTAAAATCCTGATTATTAACCCCGGCAATTTATCTGAACTCTACCAGAACAAAAATAGTTGTTCAGTTTTTATCAAGTAAAAAGTCGGTAATACTGTTAGTTTCTGGAAAAAAACGGGCGAGGTTGAAAAGCAGGGATTCCTCAGCCAGCCAGCTCTGCGTTTACTCCTCCGTTGAGAAAACCGGTCTCCGCGATTCCGTTCAAAGATCACCAGCAAGTGGAGGCAGCTGAGGAACGCCTTGGGTGGGTGTCTGTCCTACTGGGCCCCCTCGCCTTCCTCCCACCTCCAGTCCCGAGCCCCACGGCCACATAACCGGCTGCGAAGAGCCGGGACCGGTTTGCCTGTGCCTCGCGCAGCTTCGACCCCTGGGCTGCGTCCTGCCCAAAGCTGTCCCCCCAACACATGGCGGGCTACGCCCCGTGATCTCAGCGCATCAAACCACGAAACGGATGCGTCTTACGTTGTTTCTGTCTGAAACACACATACCCCCGTCTCCACTTCTGGAGAAAGGCAGAATCCAAAAGTTGTCTCTCAAAACAGCCACGTGGGCGGTGGCTTTATTTCGGAGACCCCAGGTGGATGAGCGCCATTATGGTCGTGTAGCTGTGAAACAGGTCGTCGCCCCTGACCTCGGTACACCTCCGCAGCGTGAAGTTCCCGGTCACTATCCGGTCACACCCAATTTCTCCGTTTCCAAAGAAGCCGAACAAAGGAACGCTAGGGAAGAACTTCCGGAACGCGTCGGCCTCCACGTTGCCCCTGGCTCTGTAGTGCTGGAAGCCCCGGCCCACGCACGCGAACATGAAGCCCACGGTGTTCTGCTCCGGGATGTTGGCTGCCCGGAGCCGCTGCATGGCAGCCTCGGCCGCCTTCTCGTCACTGACGTCCTCGTTGAGCAGCACGGTGGCACTCTGGATTCGGGGCCCACTGAACGACAGTCCGACCACACCCGTGGCGTCCACATTCAGAGGCTTCCTGGAGAATCAGAGAAGTGGCAGCGTACCACGGAACAAGATTAGGTAGGAATACAAGGAGGGGCCAGCAGAGGGTATAGCGGTTCCATCCCCGGACTCCCACATGGATGACTGAGGTTCGCGTCCTGGACCCGGCGGCTTCATGGGCATGTGTGTCCAAAACCCCGAGAGGAGAAGGGACTGCGGCATGGCCATCCCCCTGGGGGGTGATTTCGCGCTTACTGCCTCACTGTCTCTGTCTCCCTGGTGAGTGAACACACTCTGTATCAAAAAATCTCTCCTAAATAAGTAAATAAGGAGACTCCAGCAGCTGGCACAGTGATTATGCCGACTGGCTCCCACATAGCTGACCATGGCTCGAGTCTCGGCCCCACAGGCGTGTGTGCCAAGGTCCCTGGAGGACAGAGGAGGAGCTGTGGTGTGGCCATCCTCCATGGGGGCTGATCTCTTGCTTTTTTGTCTGTCTCCGGCAAGCACACGCTCCCTATGTCAAAAAAAATAAAGACCTCTCAAAAAGAAGGCAAGTCCTCCCAGTTCCCTGCTGGAGGACGGCTGCTTCAGCTGCCTCGGGTCCACCCCTCAGATCCCAGGAGTGTATGAAGGATTCAAAAATGCATCATTAAAATAGAAGGCAAACCGAGAGAAGCAAGCTAGTGGCTTTTCCCCGTCACAAATACGAGAGGGACACGCATCCGCAAAGATTTCTGCAACCCACCCTGGTCACCAGGAGGGACGGGGCACCTTCCTGCCCTCCTGCCTTCCCTGAGAGGGCCCTCGTGCTTCTAGTCACGCACTAACGCACCTACTAAGTGAAACTTCTTAGTACGACTTACACCGTTTCCCCCCAATCCAGAGCTGAAAGCTGTATACTGAAAATACAATCGGGCCAACAGGTGGCGTGGTGGCTACGGTGCTGGACGCTCACAGGGTTGACCATGGTTTGAATCCCGGCCCTGGCAGCTTGACAATCATGGTGGACATGCGTGTGTGCGTGCGTGCCCAAGATCCCGAGAGGAGAATGGAGGAGAAGGGATTGCGGCATGGCCATCCCCCCGGGGGTGATTTCTCACTTTCCCTCTCACTGTCTCTGTCTCTGTCTCTGGCAAGCACAGGTGCCCTATGGCAAAAACCTTAAAAACTGTCCCGGAGAATGAAACCCGTTTATAAGTTTTAGCTTTATGCTCTTTCATCCACAGAAATAAGTTTGTTTGTCTCGTTACTCTGACCCAGAGCTGGCTTACTCTGCGGGCACACTCCCTCCCTCTCTGTTTCTGCCCGGGCATTCTTGTACTTACTAAGAGTTACAAAGCATAACGTAGCCAGCGCCCACTGGGGACAAGTAACTACGTTTCTCCCTCCGCCAGCATCTAAGACCCCGCAAGGGGAAGCGATTTACCTAAGGAGGCCAGTGTAACCGGCAGACCAGCGGGCCCAGGCGCACCTGCAGACGCCCCCTTCCCCCTGACCAGTCTCTTCTCTGGAACACACCCCGCAGGACTCGCTGTTCATCTCTTGCCTCAGATTTCTTTTTTTTTTTTAAGTGTGCTCTAAGGCCTGTGAGCTGGACTGAGAGCGAGCGAGAAACCACCACCAGGGGGCGGCCATGCTGCAGTCCCTTCTCCATTCTGCTCTGGGGATTCTGGGTGTGCACACACATGCACCCAGCATGAAAGGTATATCTCTTAGTACCAAAACATGATGGTTATCTCTACCAACTCAAAATTAACACTGATGTACTCAAAATACTGAAATATATCAACCTTTTGGGAAAACTGAAAAGTTATCCATAAAACAAGGTTTACACAAGTTAAGATATATTATGGTTCTTTGGTTTATTTTTCAGTGCTTCACCCAGCATGTTTTTCGAGCCACAGGGTCTGGGACTTGAACTGTGCTGTCAGCCACGTGGGACCCAGACACCTTAACCTCCATGCAACCTACTGGCCCACCTCAGGCATTCCTTCCCTGCCTGTTTTGGAGGTGGGGGACGGTAGGTGGGGTTTCTCTGGACACTGCTGAAACAGAGCATTACTGACTCGATGGCTTCCCTGTCCTGCAGACACAGTGCAGAGCCAGGAAGAGCACAGTGTCATGTAAGGAGCAGCGTCGGGGGTACCCCTCAGACCAAGCGCCGACAGCGGAAGGTAAAAGCAGCCGCGTGGACAGCCAGCACCTCCCGCCCGTCTGAGCGAGAAGGGAACCTGCGCCTCAGGGGCGGCTGCACCTCCGCTGCCACCTGCACACGACGTAAAGGGAACAGCCGAGACACATGACAACCCAGCAAAGGAGAAGGAGCCCGACAGCCACCGAGGGCTGAGTGGTGCCCGTAGGCGCTGGCGCCGCCGCCTCCCACTGCCCGGACATAGCCGCCCGCTCGCCCTGGTCCAGGGTGGAGACGGCCAGGAGTGAGACCGGCGGCTGCTCTGCTCACCCTTCCAGGCACGGATCCTAACAGTCTCCCCAGGTCACCTCCCGGGACCCAAACGTAATCACCGGTAGAGGGAGAAACAAAACTAGTGTCTACAGGAAGCACGAGGGGAAGATGGGGTCTCCCTTTTCTGACTTTCGGAATACAAATGTACCTTTGGGAGTAAAAGCCTTGAGAACCAAAGCCAAAGATCCTCCATTTTGAGCCTGAAACAGCCTTTCGGAAAGTCTCATATAGAATTTCCAAAAATGTGTGTTAAAGAACCCCAGCAGGCCTGCCAGACGGTCCCCGGGGAGACTGACGGACAGGCCTGAGAACGGCCACAGCACTGCTCCTGCCCCCCGAGGAGGTGTCTAAAGCGCAGAGCGCTTTGGGGCCTGAGACACCTGCCCACAAACTCACTCTGATGTCCTTTCTTCAAAGGAGCAAGCTGAGCCAGAGCGGAAGCGACCGACTGGGGCCACTCGGAGGACCAGAGCTGACACAGAGCAGATCAAGAGGCAAGGTGGAAAATCAATTTCAGGACAGTGTATGTCCAAGGAGCTCTTCAAGGATACTGTGTAGCAATTCTCCAACTGTAAGAATTATGGTGAGCAGGGACCAGCAGATGGCGTAATGGCTGCGTCACTGGACTCCCACTGGCCGACCCTGCTTCAAGTCCTGGACCTAGTGGCCTAAAACTCACGCTGGGCACGCAGCCAGGCACGTGTGTGTGTATACCCAAAATTCCGAGAGGAGAATGGAGGAGAGGGCTGGCATGGCCACCACCCCGGAGGTGAGTTCTTGCTTCCTGTCTCTGTATCTCCAGCAAGCATACGCGCCCTATAGCAAAAGTCTCTCTCTCAAAATAAAATAATACAATGAGTAACCATCCTGTTGCAAAAACAGAAGGAACTGATACACAGTAATTCTTTAAGCACCTTCTTAAAAAAAAACAACAAAGTAACAAGACTCAGAGCCATCTCCCTTCACGCAAAGAAAGCCGAAGTGCACACCCCACCCCGAAGTGCACACCCCACCCCGAAGTGCACACCCCACGTACTTCTCTGAAGTCAGGGACGACAGGTTGTCCACCTGGCCCCCAGCCAGAATGACGTTCACGTCGCTGAAAGTGCTGACCACTCGCTGCAGGAAGTCACTGGCTCCCGCCTTACAGCAATTGTAGCCGAAGACGAGGACCACGCGGAGGTCAGGGTTCTCTAAGAGACCTGCAGAGAAACACGGTCAGCCATTAGGGAAAGCCGCACAGCAGGGACGGTCCTGTGCGTGCACCACGCAGTGGCCGCCGTGACCCACACGCACAGCACTCCCCCGAGGGAAAGGGGCCGCTGGTTCCCAAAGGACAGGGACGGCAGCGGTGGGAGCTAAAGCCCCAGGGAAAATAGGCAAGTCACCCCTGTAGGGGGAGGAATGGTGGCCCCCTAAATTCATCATTATCAAATCCCCAGGCACAGTGAAATGCCCTTATCTGGAAAAAGACCTTTGCAGATGGAAGTACGGGTCTGACAGGAGGTCACCCGACTACCCAGGTGGGCCCTAAGTCCAATGCCAAGTGTCCTGTGAGGGGAGGCCAGGAGAGGGGCCACGTGGCTGCAGGAGCGGGCATCATGCGGCTGCAGCTGCAGGAGTGTCAAGGGCCCCGACAGAGGAGGAGGAGGACAGACTTCCCCTGGAGCTTCCAGGAAGCGTGTGGCCCTACAGACACCCCGAGTGCAGCCTTCCGGCCTCTCGAAGTGCGACAGCACACACTTCTGTCCCTTTAAACCGCCCAAGTTTGAGGTCCTTTGTTTTGCAGCCTCAGGAAACTACTGCCTCTACAAGGGACCCACAGGCCTGCCCGCCTCCGAGGGAGGGAGTGGGAGCAGACAGGGGGCCCTGGGACGAGCTTTCCAAATGCGTGGTGGGAAGGCAGCTGCCACGAGGGGGCCACAGGAGCCACCAGACACGGGCGGACCTCAACCCCCAGGCGCCCTGGTTCCAGCATTACCGAGGTGCCCAAGACTACGCTGGCTCGGGTTTCCTGACGGCCGCCTCCCACCCTGGCCTACCGAGACGTGTGTCTGAAACAAGGCTCCCTAAGGAAGCCCGGCCGTGGCGGTGCGCGCCTCCACTTCTAACACCCACAATGCTTTTTCTAAGAAACCGCCACGGTTCTTCTCTAAAAAGGTTTTTGCACCACAATAAACTCGTCCTTGAACTCCATTTTCCCGAGAATTTTTGGAAGATCCCTCAGGAAACCACCTCAGGCGTCCCGAATGGACCATGGGCCGGTGCCCACCCACCCTGCACTGGGACCCTTCGCTGGGTTATGGGCGCAGGCCTGGGCCCCCCAGGGAGGGCGCCCTGGGGGAGGCGGGGAGGCAGCCTCAGCTCCAGCCCTAACGTGCCGCCACCTCAGCAGCTCCCCGGGCTCTCCCGCACGCCGTGCCTGGTGCCTGGGGCGAGTGGAGGAGCTCGGGAGTGAGCAACCTAACAGGACAGTCGGGCGGCGCAGGGCCGCCTGCCTGAGCAGCCCCGTGCGGGCTTTGGGCAAGCAGCAGGTGTGGCCACCCAGAGCCGCAGGATCCAGCTGTAGGTCAAGCTCTCCCCTCCCTCCACATCCAAAAGGCCCAGCAGCTGGTCCCCTAGCCCCGCCGGCCTGCCCTGCCGGCCCGCCCTGGCGCTAGCCAGACCCTGGGTATACGCCGCCTCCACTGACGGGCGCAGTCCCCGCAGGACGCCCCTCCCGTCCTGAGCCCGCCTGCTCTCCAACCGGCGCCACTGACTCCAGTAGCCTTTTTCTCGCATCAATCTTTAAAAATTTAATTAATTTATTTTTAGGAGAGATTTTTGCTATAGGACACGTGCATTCGCTGGAGAGACAGAGACAGGAAGTGAGACATCACCCAGCGGGGGAATGGCCATGCTCCTCTCCGGATTTTGGGCGCACAAGCATACGTGCCGGGCGTGAGTTTCAAGTCACCAGGTTTGGGACTTGAACCACGGCTGGTCATGTGGGAGTCCAGTGCTGTAACTATCAGGCCATCTGGGGCCCTGTTTCTCGCATCAATCTGAACTGACATGCGAGGTGCGGATGCCTGTGGTAGGATGTGATGCCCACACAGGACGGTGGCTCCTGGGTGAATCCTGGAGCACCCTTGTGCTGCGCCCAGAGGTCATCGAGTTGCGGCCGGGTGGGGTGTGCAGAGAGCCCGTGGGATCAGGTCACGCCAGCGAGCAGAGCCCTGGGGTCCCACGGCCACTCTCACTAAGCCCAGGCGCCCCTCGCCTCCCCAGCCCTCCCTGCTCCCAGCACTCCCACCTCCCTAGGGAGGACTCGAGGGAGGGTCGAACCCTGCCTGGCCCCCATCCTTTGAGTTCTGTCAGAAACCTGCAGAGGTCAAGGCCACAGCGACACCCGCCTGCTGCACAGCTCAAGGCCCTCCCGATGAGGCTTCTGTCTTCTTTAGGCCCTGTCAGATGCCCCTTTTCCCCACACCACGGAGCTGACAAAGGCCCTCGGTTTTATGTCTTCTAGCACATTCCT